CACCACTCACTCAGTTCAGCTGGGGGTTATAAGTTGACCACCAGTTATCAATCCACTACAGATGATGAAAGGTTAATGGATTCTCCTGGCTTCATCATGGGTGAAGGAGGATGGGAAGAATGCCGGGAGGGGCACCCCACAATAACCTTCCTGTGTCTGCACTTTTATTCTGTCAATTCCTGCACTAAAGTCCGGAGGCAGGTCAGCTGTTTTTAGATGTCCTGACGACACTCTCACTTTTGACATACAGGACCTCCCTCCCTCAGTGTATTTTCTCTGAATGATCAGCTTAGAGCAAAATCCTTGCTTGAAACAATACGTTCTAGTCCTGAACGTTTCTCCTTTCTGAAATTGTTTCAGGAACATTCTTTGGCCAGGTGTAATCCAACATCATTTCTCCCTAAAATGCAACCTATGTTCCTGGACATTTGCTACTCAAAACACCTGCTTCCTTCCTTTCTCTCTCTCTTCCTTCCTCTTTCTTCGTGTGTGTGTGTGTGTGTGTGTGTGTGTGTGTGTGTGTTTCATTCTTTTTACTGGTAATTCAGCTTAATGGGTTTCATTTAGGCAGGGTCATACATGCACATAGCTTTGATCATTTTCATCTCCCTAACAACCCTTGCCCCGCCCTTCCCTTTTCACGTAGGAGGTTCACTGTGGAATATTTTGTTTGTATCCATCCCCACTTACATCCCCTTCTCCTGCCTCTTAATCTCTTCCTCTTGTCTAGTAAGTCCTGCTTCTACTTGACATTTTTAAGATCCCACATATTAGGGAGAATAGATGATATTTGTCTAAATCCAGCTTATTTCACCTAGTGTGATGGTCTCCAGATTCATTGGTTTTCTTACAAATGGTGGATTTTCATTCTTCCTCATGGCTGTATAACATTCTGTTGTGTGTACATACATAATCGCAATTTTAATTATTCATTTATTTGTTGATGAGCATCTAGACTGGTTCTGTGCTTTGGCTACTGTGAACTGTTCTACAGTAAACATTAGTTTGCATGTATCATTACTGTGTGCTTTTTAATTCCTTCAAGCATGTGCTGCACCAAGGAGTGGTGTAGCTGAATCAAATGGTAGATCTACTTTTAATTTTCTGTGGATCTTCCTTGTT